ATTGCGGCTACCAATCGTCGTGTTCGAAAGGCTGGAGCACGTTTCAGTTCGTTCTCGCTCATCACCCCGCCCACCAAGCTTATGAACCAGGTCTTCGGCTATCCTGTCAATTCTTCGAGCCTGTCAAGATTACATTCCATCGATAAAATTTACACCTGACAACATACGCTTCTCCATTCCATCGGGATAGGAAACGTAAAAGAATGTGTTCCTCTCGAGTTGTGTTGCCCACGCAAGCAAGGCAACAGCTTTTTACGTCAAAAACACCTCTGTTATCACTCTGATAGGGGTCCACGCTTCAGATTTTTGTTTCCTTGAGAACTCTATATCGAATCGTTGGGATAGACATCGCAGGCGTACTGCGTTCGTAAAGCCTGAATTGATCCTGCGCAATGGGATTCGACGTGGTTGTACGACTCAAAAGATACTATCCGGCATTCCGTGCTCAAAAGGATGCCAATGAACAGAAAGCTAGAACAAGCAGCTAAATCGTGACATCTGACGAGACGGGCGAGGGCGGACCTTACTCCAGTGAGACGCTAGTTAGAGATCACACTTGCGTTCATAGTGAAGCCAGTGACGCATGCTGTCTAAACCAATAACTGAACAGTAAAGGGGAGCTCGGGTGGGGTGCAATCAAAACTAGAAAACGGTTAGCAGACTAGAACTCGACCGACTAATTAGTAGTTGATACATTTAGTTACTCATTTTATATGGAGTCGCCACGCTTATTGTGAGTCCGTGCATAAAGCCATCCTATATTTCGCCAGATATGACAAACTTGCTATGAATCCACCGTGCCCTCCTGTTAGAACTAGCCGCTTCGGTGCTCTGCTACAGGATACATGTCTAGTTGGATTCGTATCCTCTATCTGGTTCTTGCACGGCCACAGAAGCTTGACGTTGAACGGCGTCGCGTAACAGAGCCATGTTCCTAACCAAGCGTTTTGGGCGTCACATGGTTGTGTCATCTTCACATGTGGAGCTCTCCTGTGGGCCACACGGATTATCTGCATTCAATCATCCGCCTCTCAGCACCATGATTAGCTTCAAAATTCTTTGATCCGCAAGCTCGTCACGACGGCTCTTCTCACAACCCTTGACGATCTTACGAAGGTTTCAATACAGGTTGTACGCTGAACCCATCTCCTCCCCTCGCATGCCGATCGATCGAAAGCTGGCTGCATCTCTTGTGGTTAGCACGAAGCTCCTCAACTGAGCAAGCATGTAGCGTCTCGCCGTTGTACTACAGTCCGTACTCTGCGTGCAACGCCATCGAACCCCGATCGCTATATATCTGCGGTCAAGAAATTACCCGCCTAGATGAGAATCAAACGGCGTCCACCCTAGGATCGTCGCTTCCAAGTCGGTTTGAGTTGACGAATAACTCTTCTAGTTTATGTCTTTCGATAGCGCTTTGCAGCTGTCCAGCATCGGAGGCGTATTTTGTTCCCCCAATGCACTGATAACGGAATGTCGAGAATGGATCCAATGCCATCTGACTCGCGAAGAAATTTGTAGTCGCAGCTGCACTTGTTTCGGCCTGAGAAATCATGCCAGGCTTTTTGCCTTTGTAGACGACGCTTACCTGGCGGGATATCTCAGTTGGTCGCTGCATGAACGGCTGAAGTACTGCCCCTGTTTTCGGATTCTGGCCCGAATGCATAGCTAGCTGACTGCCTGAATCTCTACGGCCACCGGGCAGAGAAAATATCTTCTCGACGTTTGGTTGCGACACGTTTCTGAACGGGTTCTGCCCGAACATCTCTTCATAAGTTTCCCTGCGAGGCAACGTCACATCCACGCTACTACTTTGGCTGTAGATGCTGGGGCTCGCTACACTAGTAGAACGTTCTGCCAGCTCTATGGTAGCTGCATTGCGAGGATCGCTGATGATGGCGCCCGCTCTGTTACGTGTTTCTCTATCAAGGATCGCAGTCCCCAGCGACCCGATGGGCGACGGGCCATCCATTTGCTGAGCTTCCCTCGTTTTTTCGTCTTCAGAATCGCCTAGTCGCGGTCGCTTTGCTGTTTCGAAGACGTCTTCGGGGTATCGTACGCCATCGTGCGTGGAAACGGGCGAAGGTCGCTTTGCAGAAACGCGTGACGAGCAGCTTGACGTCACAGGTGGAGCCCCTGCTTCGACTAAGGAAGCATACTGTGAGATGGGATACCTGTCTAAGCCTGTGACAAGCCCGTGGATAGGTGGACAAGACCTACGAGCGCGCAATTGTTCTGGCGTCGGCTGATAAACCGTCTGCGGGGACAACGGTACTGAGATAGAGCCATCAGAGGAACAAAGATCAATGGGGCTGCTGTCGCAGAAGCGCAGTTCGTCTACAAGTCTGCGTGCAGGCTGTACCGTCGGCTCTGGTAAGCTCGTAGGCGCGACTCGTACCTTCTCATAAGCCGACTCTCCGAGCAGAAAAATACGAACGATATGTTGCGCCATAAACGACCGAGATAGACGGCCTCTGGGAGTG